TTTCTTTGATCACCATTATCTGGCAAAAGCAACTCATTGATTGATGCATTCCTTCTTGATCATTAAAGGTCTGGGATAATAGTGCTTAAGGTTTGGGAGACAAACGAATGCTTACAATGAAATGAGAATTGGGCTAATTGCGATAGTGGTGGGAACAAACTACGAGCTAATTGTGAGGGTGGAGGAAATTTTTGATGGAAGGAGTTGGGCGTCGGCCTGCGAAAGAGGAAGATAATGAAAATCAATTGAGCTTCGCCTATCATGTTAGAGTTGTGTTGTTCATTATGTTGGATCGAGAAAGTAAAGTTAACCCGGTTCATGAGAAAAACTCAACCTGACCAGCCTGATTTTGCTCCAATTGACATGAACTTTGAAATTTTACAAAATCGTAGAAATCATAGATTTTAAGAATTGTATAGTTTAAATCAACATTTTATAGAATTTTAAAGTTCTAAGATTTTGTAGTAAAATCAGGATCGAAACCTATAGGTAGGATCGTAAAGTCGTAAGATTTTAAGATTAAGATCGGGATTTTGACTACATTGTACCTACCTACACAAAACTTCCATTCCCTCCAGCACCAGCTCCCATTTTTATATAAAAAAAAATGATTCCTCCCTCCATCAACAAAAGACCCAATATCAACATCTGGTAAAAATAGAGAGGGGGTCATCATCTAAGGTGTCGCCTTCGTGGGAGGCTCGGTTCAGGCATGGCAAGCTGTCGAAAAATGGCAACTAGGTGGATGTCGATCTCATCATTTATCGCCTCCCTTGACATCCCTCTCCACTAGGTCCAGACAATACAAGTCATTCTCTCACTCCATTTCTTCCCTTCGTCCGTCTTGCTCTCACTCTCTCTCTCTCTTTTCTTTTGCCGGCCGACAGTAACTGCGGAAGTCTGTCAGCTCGCTTGTTCTGTCACAGGGATACCCACCATGTGTCTGATTAAATTCCGTAACTAGCAAATCCCGTAAGGGCTGGGGGTTTTCGGTTGATGATTTTGGAAACAAGTAACAATCATGAGTCGTCGTTGTTTGACTGCTTAGTGAACGGACATCGAGAACAACAACTGGGTTTAGAGAATGGAGGAGATGAAGTAAAAAAACACATGCCTGGTAACCAAAACGGATGAGAGGAATTACAAGGATGGAAGTAACTAGAACACGGGGTAAATTTGACCTTTTGCTCGTGTTTATATAAATTCAGACTGGTTGAACTGGAATTAATGGAACTCGGATGGAAATATTAACAGAAGGGCAGATTTGACATCATGATAATAGTAAAAGGACAAGTTTGATGTAAAATATAGTAGAGAGGTATGTTTTAGAAAAAAAATCATAATAGAGAGACAATTTATGCTATTAACCAAATAAAAAATGGGTTTCTGACAAAAAAGGTCTTATGGTAATTGCATTGGTACAGAGGCAAGAACTCGGAGGTTTCTGATAGCTTTTGTGTTTTGGGTTTTCTAGATTCTATGAAATTGAATGTATGGTTCAACAAGGAAAAAAGATATCATGTTTATCGTGACTTCTCTTCCTGCCTGCCTAAAAGAAATCCCACTGCAAGTTCCAAAACAAGGCGGCACCCATCGCTGGGGCATGGGATAGAGCCAGTAACTGCACACACACCGTAGATCTAGGGGCGGATTCATTGTGCGGCTGGGCTGAATGTGGGGTCCGGAAGGGTATTTTTGTCCGTTTATAAATTTTAATTTTTTTTACTATATCCCGCTTTTAATGGCTGTCTTTTCAAAAGAGGAGACACCTTTTTATTAGCTGTCTTTTCAAAAGAGGAGAGAGAAATAAGCTTTTCTTTGCAACTCTCCTTTCTTTCTCTCTTACTTTTTCTCTCCCAATCTCTTTTCCATATCCTTTCTCTTTCTCTCTTCCTTCTCTTTTCTTTTCTTTTCTCTCTCTCAATCTCCTTCTCCATATCTAGATCTGCTTCCTTCTCTTCTTCTTTGTTTTTTTCTCCAACAATCGACGAAGAAAAATTGCAGCAACCCTCTTTCATTGCGTTTCTTCTCTTCATCAACTTGCTGGCCTCACTTCTGGTCTTTCTCCTTTTTTTGGCATTTGTTGTTCTTGATTGCAGAGGAAATGAGACGAGACAGAAGACGTGTGTTTTTTCCCTCTCCCTCCTTTTGTTTTTTTTTTTCTTTTAGGTAATATATATTGATATTATCATACTATACCATACAATATTGTGTGGTAACGAAATATATATTGATATTACCACACTATATCATATGGTATTGTATGGTATTGTGTGATGTTACCACACTATACCATATGGTATTATGTGGTAACTAAATATATATTGATATTACCACATTCATATTTGTAATTTTTGTCCATAGGACTGAATTATTTAACGAAACAATCATTATTCAATTTTTTGAGTTGGAATTAAAACAGAGATAGTTTGGATGGTTATATATATATATTATAGAGATAGAGTTAGAGTGTAGACAGCAGATGCATTTTTCTTCTTCTTTTAGTTGTAGATGGGTCATGGGAGAGAGAAGAAATAATATAATTTTTCTTTTAATAATAAAACAGAGAGTGAGAGAGGGGAACACGCGTGGACGGGGAGTGGGTTCCACGTCTAGTCAATAATCAACATCAACATTAAATGCAGGTGTGGGTAATGCTCATTTGTATTTAATTTAAAAAAAAAAAGTCTGACACGTGGGGACCAGGGGAGGGGGTTACTGATGATTACTAATGGGAGGGTTACTGACCTGATCTGCTCCCTTTCGCCGGAGTATAAGTCCGAAAGTGGAGAGGGAAATTCCCTTTTTTCTTTTTAGAATAATAATATTCGGGTCGAAACTAAAGATGCGTACTATTTGCTGCCCGTAAATTAAACTAAAATGACATTTTTACTATTTGTCCATTTTCTATAATACAAACCCCCATTCCACCACAACAACAGCGACCACCACTGCCGCCGCCGGCCCCGCCACTCCTGCTGCCGCCGGTGCCACTCCTCCACCGCCACCACTGCCGGCGTCGCCACCACCGCCAGATCACCACCGCGGCCAGCACCAAACCATCACAGCCGGCGGTCGGACCCCGTTCGACGCCGGCGGGCGGACCGTGCATCTAGGGACGGTTTCAAAACCGTCACAAAAGCTCGTCGCTAAATGATAATAATTATTTAACTCAATTTTCTTTTTTTAATTATTATATCATGTTAATAATTATATGTATGTTTATTAATTATATTTATGAATTAAAAAAACTAAAAATTATTCATAAGAAAAAAATTAAATTATAAAAAATATTGTACAAACGAATTCATAATTATTTTGTAATTAAGTAAATAGAGATAAAATAAATAAATTAATTACAATAGCAATTAAATAATTACTGTATGTTTAATAATTACAAATGATCTGAAGTAGTGTATAAGAGAATGGATATTTAATCATAAATTATCATAAATATTGTATAAACTTATGAATAATTCATTTTAATTATGTAGAATAGTGTAGAAATATTTATAAATTTTGATTAAACATTTTAATTGTATTTATTTTATATTTAATTAGATCATCGTCCCTAAACTATGTTTTATAAAACTTTCAAGGAATTGAGGCACGAAGAGGACTCTTTGCGGCTCGGGGAAGGTCGGGCAAAAACATCTTTTAGCAATTACTAGAGTCACCGACATGAAAAATTATCTTTCATCGATCTCTTAAAATGTGGATACAAATGTGTTGGAATCTATTATTTATCTATCGTAAATTCCCGACAAAAAGAGATGAATAGTGCCAAAACTTTAATCGAGGTGTTTTTAGGGTTCTGGGGGTGGTAAGTAGGAGTTTCTTGAGCCTATCACGTATATTTCCACGAGGCAAAATATTATTATTAGTGCAGGCAGAGATGATTTTGCTTAATTATCATATTTACAATTATTTAAATCCTAATTATGGTATTTTACACTTATTTAATTAATAAATAAATAATAATTCAAAAATGATTTTTGAAAAAAATAACAGTAATCGCCGGGTCTCGGAACCGGTCCGCCGTCAGATTTTGGACCCCGTTCGCGCAGGGCGGTCGGACCCCTTCCTCTACGTTGGCGACGATAACACCCGTGGCAAGCTCCTTCATCTTCAACGTCCGCGATTTTGTGAGGGGAGCGAGTGAGGTCGACGAATGGAGGGGTCGGCGGACCAGGTCGGAGTAATGGAGAGGTCGGCGGTGGGAGCAGCGGTGGAGGGGTCGACGGTGGGAGCAGCTGTCGGCGGCGGCGCAGTTGTAGGTGGAGGGAGGAGGTTGTGAGGGGATGAGTTTGATAGGATTTAGGTTTAGTTAGAAGAAGGAGCAAATTCGTCATATTTTTTATAACTATGAGCGGCAAATAGTAAAACTACTGGCGACAAATAGCGATTCATAAACTAAAACCTCTCTATCTCTAATCTTGGTAACCGCCCCTCAATCCTTTCACGTACCAAAAAAAGAAGAAAATGACGGACCTTGTACAAAAGAGGAAGATTTAATGGCAAAAAGATAGTAAATTGTTAGTCGCTTATTCTCACTTTAGATCCGTCTAACCTCACGCTTTTCAATATCACCAATTTTCTCGGTGTGGTTGTCGATGCCACACCAACACCATATATTAGTCGAAAGGGTTAATTGCATGGTTGGTCGCTGAGATTACAAAAAACGTTCAAGTTTGGTCACTCGAAATATTTAAATTCATTGGTGATACTTTAGTTTACTGAAACCGTTCACGTTTGGTCACTCTCCGTCCAACTCCGTTAAATTTGGCTGATATGGCAGTCAACTCTCAAAGTTGACCGTTAACTTAGTGACGTGACAATTAAGAAATAATAAATAAATAAAATATAATCTATTTTAATAAATAAATAAAATAAAATAAAAATAATTATGCAAATCATATTCTCTTCTTCATCCCGTCAAAATTAGGGTTTGCAATCAGCATTTTGTCCAACTGGGAACACTATCCCCAACCTTCCACCTCGTTTTCCTCCACTGATTGATCCGTCGGGGCGTCGATGGAGTCGCGGGTACCTGAAACCATCAACAGGATCACCTCCCTGCCGGACGAAATCATCTCCCACGTCCTCTCCTTCCTGCCAACCAAGTACGCCGTCGCCACCGTCGCCCTGAGCCGACAGTGGAAGGATCTCTCGACAAGTCTCCGCAACCTTGATTTCGACAACCGCCTGGTTCGAAGCATTCCTCTGGATTCCGGAGAGGCCAAGAGGAGAGACTTGGAATTCTCTCGATTCGTGGGACGGGTTCTGAGCCAGCAGAAGAATCTCAATTTTGTAAAGCGCTTCCGCTTCCAGTTTTCAGTAGACTATTATGACTGCGAGGCGCGAGCTAAGTCGAGATGTCTAGTGTCATTGGATGGAGTCGACTCCTGACGAGTCTCAGCGGGAGGAAATTGATATCAGACTGGAGAGCTCGTTTTACGTTGGTCCCATCTATGAGCTATGGTCTCCTCTAGCGAGTTTCTTCACCCTGAAGAATTTAAAAGTTCTGAAGCTTAACGAAATCATGACAGGCATAATGTCGGCTTCTATTTTTCTTTCTAGTCTGAAAATCCTACAGCTTTTGAAGGTAAGGACTTGGGACTTCGAGTTATTAAGCAGACTCATTTCTGGTTGCCCTGTTCTGGAGACTCTTCATTTAGAGAATTGCTCTTACAAGATGTGGGATGGCGATCAAGTACTCATTGCTTCCATTCCATCCTTGAAGAACTTGACGATTATCAACAATGATGGAAGGCTACATTGTCCCATTGAAATGGAAGCGCCAAATCTTGAGCATCTTTATCATCTGAATTTTGGGGAGTTACAGTTTATGGGTAGTAGTAGTAGTCCATTGTCATGCGTTCACTCGGCATGGGTTGATACTCCTGTTTATGAGGAAACCTGGGTTGATGTTGATGATCAGTATGGAAGACCGCCTTGACGGGATTTGCATAATAAATAAAATTATTATATTTTGACGGGATGAGGAAGAAAATATGATTTTCATAATTATAATAATTTTTTATTTATATTATGGTAAAAATGAGTTGGACATTAAAATAAAAAAAATTATTTATTCTTTCTTAATTGCCACGTCATTAAGTTAACGGTCAACTTTGAGAGTTGACTGCCACATCAGCCAAAGTTAACGAAGTTGGACGGAGAGTGACCAAACGTGAACGGTTTCAGTAAACTAAAGTACCACCAATGGATTTAAATATTTCGAGTGACCAAACTTGAAAGTTTTTTCTAATCTCAGTGACCAATCGTGTAATTAACCCTTAGTTGAAATAGGGGTGGGGCTCTCTTTGGGGATTGTTGTTTCGCTCAAGATACGGTGCATAATCATTGGGTATTCACCCATTAGTAACTAAATCTGGACGCTTCATTAGGAAAATTCAGATCTAAGGATGGATAATTAAATGCCAATTTTATTGGGTAAATGCCACATTTGGTCGCTGGGATTATTAAATCGTGTTATGTTTAGTCATTGGAAAAAATTAATATCAATTTTTGTCACTCGAATTACTAAAACAGGTCACATTTAGTCACTCTCCTGTTGGCCTCCGTCCAACTTCAGTCACTCGAATTACTTTTTTTTTATGAATGTCACTCGAATTACTGAAACATGTCACATTTAGTCACTCTCCGTTAACCTCCGTCCAACTCCGTTAATAGAGTTGGACGGAAACTAACGAGAGAGTGACTAAATGTGACATGTTTGAGTAATTCGAGTGACCAAAATTGATATTAATTTTTTCTAGTGACTAAAGATGACATGATTTATTAATCTCAATGACCAAATGTGGCATTTACCCCATTGTTTTCCCTTGTTTTCTTAATCAGCTCATATCTTCTCCGTTTTAACTCGGATGGAATGAGTTCGTTGTACTCTACAAAACGAGATCCATTTTCAATATTTTTAAAGAAAAAAAAATTCTTGCCTCTCAGTACCAACTGCATACCATATGATATCTTCTTCGTTTTTAGTTCGTTTTTGAATTTTTTTGCACAGAAGGAACGAGTTCATCATGATCTATTGGATCTACAAATTTCTAGGTGAACAAAATACAGGATCACACAATACCACCCCGGTATGGGGGTGGTATCTTGTGGTACACATTGTTAAAAGTCGTAAATGGCAGTTAATATACTTCTACTATCATGTATTCAACCATCCTACAGTCTTGGTTTGTACATACCACCATGCTACGCTTTTCAAACCATAGGTATGCTCTTATTTCAATACCAGCCAATACCATATGGTATAGACTGGTAAAAGATGACTCAATTTTTTTGTTCCAAAAATATATCAAAGTAGATATCATTTTGAAGAGCACAATTAATATGATCTAACTGTGCAATAAAAATTAAATTTTGACTTAAAACGAGTGAGAAATCGTCCATTAAAGATTAAGGAGAAGAAAATTAAAAGCTTTTCAGGAGATCGAAGGGGCGCTGATGTGGCGGATGGTGATTGGGTTATGCATTGTTATTGACCATAAGGTTATAGACTGGATCTTCTCCCGTTGTTTCGATTTAAAAATCCATTGAGGGTTTGTCAATCGCTTGCACTCTTTTTTTTCTTTCCAATTCTGTAACACGCTAACCATGATAATTGCACACCGATTACCAACAACTAGGGCTGGAAGTTTGGTACCGGTATTTGGGATATACCGAATACCGTATCAAATTTGTCTATATTTGGTATTACCAAATACACATATTATTTCTTGGGATTGAATTTCAATTATTATTCGGTATTAGGGATTACGAGATTGGGATCGGTATATATCGAAATACCGATCAATACTAAAATATAAGCTAGTGTGTATTTTATCCTCTCAACTAGACTATCTCATTCATTTAATTTTACATATATCATTCCATCACTATTAATAGTCGTCTCTCAACCTAGAATTCGTCAAATTAATGAATACCAATGAAAAGAACTTGAGATATCTCCTCTCCTCCATTCTCCTCAATAATATCCTAATTCAAGACTCTTTGCTTAGTCTTTTCCCCCTAAATTAAACAATAAAATCTAATTTATATATTTAATTATTAATTGCAAAGGTAATTAATTTTGTATACCGATTGGGATACCAAAGTACCGATTGGGATACCGAAACATTTAGGGATTTGGATTGGGATACCGCAATTATTTAGGGATTGGGATTGACTTTAAGGTGTAATTCGGTATTCGGAATTTCGATATTTGGTATTGGGATACCGTACCGATTTCTACCCCTACCAGCAACCATGTCTTATTAGGATATAATCCATATCTTACTCTATATTATCATACAATAGACTGAACCATTTTACATTGTTTCTTCATAAGTTATAAAAGCCTTCAAAATAAATTAGCTAACAACCAAAATCACTTTAGTTTTATAACCGTACTAAAACACACTGAAACCATATTATTTACATATCTACACAAAACCAACTTTCTAATGCACATGTAATATGATTGGGCGAAAGAATGGGCAAAGAGTTAATCATCGTATCAGTTTAGTCGAGATATATGAAAGATGTAATTATATTTTGCACATATATGAGTAAACTCTCTAAACATTTAGTAAACCACACATAATCAAAAGGATTATATATTATCACCACCTAACTCATTTTGGTTTTATAGAAGAACTTTAGTTTAAACCATCCTAAGTGCTTCTACAAAGATTCCAATAAACTGGTAAACTGTGCCACCAATTACATTTTTTATTTATAAGAGTACGACACTTTACAAAGCCCCTCCAAAAGGAGGGAAACAAAATATTATACAGATACAATTTCAAAACGGTTGGAGTAGTGCTTAATGGAGACGCCATAAGAGAAGAGTAGATAGAAACTGTTTGTACCATCTAGCTCCGGTATGAACAATGATATTTGTTGGTGTAGGGTTGACTCACGATATGTTCGTCTGATCTCGTCGGGAGGGAAGAGACCTGTGAAAGAGTCGGGGTTGCCCCCCGGATTAAGCTCCGACGATCAAGTCAGTTTATGTTTAGGGTGAAAGTTGAGAGAATAAGGTAGAGAGATAAGGTGTAGAGATAGTGAAAAGTAGAAAGTGAGGAGAGAGGAGAAGTCCCCTTTCCCATGGTGGGTTTCATACCTTTATATACTTGTAGCGGGTTTCGAGCGTCATACATTGTCGATTGGACGCGGTATTACTTAGTCTATGCGGGAGTATCTTAGTAACACCCCCAACAATTGCCCCCAAGCTGGTGGTGAGTTTTAACTCATCACTAGCTTATATTTTATTTTTTAAATCTTCGTTGGTAATTTTGGGTGGAGCCCCATGTACCCTAGTTGCCCCCCAGCTGGTGGCGCGTTTGGCTGACGCGGTGCCAGCTTCCTGCGTCATGCCCCCCAGTTGGTCTATTTCATTAAGTCGTTGAACGCTCTTCTATTGGAATCTCCAAGGCGCTGAGCAATTGCTTGTTGAAAATTTTCCAAGGTATTGAGCACTCTCCTATTGGAGTTCTTCACACACACACACACACAAGTGTGTACTCTTTCATTGGTGCGCTTGTGACAGACGCACGGTTAAGTTACAGGCTTACCGCGCACGTTTAGTGCTCTTTATTGGAGATAGAGGTAGTTGAACACTCTCATATTGTAGATTCACCGATGCTCTTATTGAAGTCTTATTTGTGTGCTTCATTGAGACTTATTTGTAGATCTTCGATGCTCTTATTGAAGTCTTATTTGTGTGCTTCGTTGAGACGTATTTGTAGCTTCTTCGATGCTCTTATTGAAGTCTTATTTGTGTGCTTCGTTGAAACTTATTTGTAGATCTTCGATGCTCTTATTGAAGTCTTATTTGTGTGCTTCGTTGAGACTTATTTGTAGATCTTCGATGCTCTTATTGAAGTCTTATTTGTGTGCTTCGTTGAGACTTATTTGTAGATCTTCGATGCTCTTATTGAAGTCTTATTTGTGTGCTTCGTTGAGACTTATTTGTAGCTTCTTCGAGGCAATGTGCCCTCTCCTCGTCGGGTTTTTAACCCTCAGTTTGGAGTGTTCAAGGCGTCGAGAGCTTGGTGAGTTTCTCATCTCCCACGTTGTTGGGTACCTCTTGCTCCCCATTAGCGCCATTAACGTTCAGGAAAGTAAAATATTTTAATATTTAATAATGATAGAGGGATAGAGTACTTAGCTTTATGTTGGTGAAGCGGCTCGAAGAGTTGTTAAAATAAGAGTGTTGCGCCTAAGGATCACAAGGCGCGTATGTAGCCTGTTGGTGATTTTGCTTGTTTGGTGGAGGAAGGATGCGAGTTCAATTCCTAGCGGCGTCAATAATATTTTTGACGCGGAGTGGAGCACGGATGGACGGGGCGGACTTGGATCTGCGAGTGCGGGCCAGCTAAGCGGGCGGGCGTTGGACTTGGGCCGCAAGTTGGACTTGGCGCGGTTGCTTTGTGGGTCGGGGCTTGACGTGGAACGGATCGGGCGACTTCGATGGAGGATCGCGAGCTGATGGTGTATAGAGCGGTGCGCGTCACGCTTTAGTGGTGAATAGTGAGCCTTAGCTAGCTTTATGTTCGCGCAGTGACGACAAAGAGTAATAAATTCAAGTGTCGCGCATTTGATGCGTAAGCTTTCGATGTAGCGTATTGGTATGAATGCTGATGTTGTGAACTCAGGGGCACGGGTTCGAATCTTCCCAACCGCGCTTTTTTGTTGACTTAATGGTCGCAGTTCTGTGGCGGGCCGAGAGCCGCGAGTGGGCCCGTGCGCGTGAGGAGCGGTGCGGATCACAATCCAGGACCTGGGCCGCGAGATGGAGTTTGGCGGGGGACATGTGGGATCATGTGTCGCGGAACGAAAACTGCTGACGGCTCTTGAGGAGGTGTGACGGGCCGCGAGATGACGCTTGGCCCACTTAACCGCCAGTTATGAAAGGAACGCGAGCCCATATGGCGGACCTGGGCGAGTTGGAGGCGTTCTACTGAGAAGCTGCAAGAATGAGAAGGCGGAGCACGCTGAAAGACTTGTTACCCGCTGCCATCCAATGAGAAGCAATGTAGTCTTCCTTCTGCCGCATCCCTTGCGCACGGAATTTGTTTGGCGGAAAGTTGGTGTCAATAGAGAACCGGTGGTTATTGGTGACGGCCGACTATGGAAGCAAAGCTCTGTTGGCGGGGATTAGTTGAAGCTTCCTTCGTTCTGAAGGCACGCGGAGGATCTAGAAGCACTACTTCACCATCGATTAGAGGAGGTCATGGCGGACCGAGCGCTTTGTCGCGCGGAAGTGCTTTCGCTCAATAACTCCATCTGCTTGCATCGATTTCTGTGCATCTCGATCTATGTGCACTGTGCTTTTTCTGACAAGGAGTGGAGGTAGAGGTAGCGTATTTTTGGGAGAAAAGTCGATGAAGACAGGGACAAGACTTCTTCTTCATTGTTCTTCGGAATCCGGTTGGGTTATATCTTCCTTCATTTCCGTTAGCTGCTATTGAATTCCATATTTGATCTTCTTCACTCATCCTTCTTTGACGGCTGTCGCTATTTGTAGTGCTGGGGAAAGGTTTTTTTTTTCAAAAGTGCTGAAACCTGGAACTTTCTTTCCCCTGCTTTTTCTTGTAGAACTTCTATCTCCATTCAGTTGAGCTTTCACCGGGAAGTAGATACAACCGTTTTATTTATTTATTTTACCCACTTTTGCGGTTGTTGTAGCGATTGGCGGAGGAATAGTCGGACTTGTGGTGGATTCCCCTCCTCTTTGTTGAGGTTTCCAAAATCCTCGTTTGAACAGATCACCCACTTTTTCTTCAGATACGAGACAAATGAATGCATGAATCAAGCCCCACGGTGGGCGCCAATTGTTTGTACCATCTAGCTCCGGTATGAACAATGATATTTGTTTGTGTGGGGTTGACTCACAATCTGTTCGTCTGATCTCGTCGGGAGGGAAGAGACCTGTGAAAGAGTCGGGGTTGCCCCCCGGATTAAGCTCCGACGATCAAGTCAGTTTATGTTTAGGGTGAAAGTTGAGAGAATAAGGTAGAGAGATAAGGTGTAGAGAGATAGTGAAAAGTAGAAAGTGAGGAGAGAGGAGAAGTCCCCTTTCCCATTGTGGGTTTCATACCTTTATATACTCGTAGCGGGTTTCGAGCGTCATACGTTGTCGATTGGACGCGGTATTACTTAGTCTGTGCGCGGAGTATCTTAGTAACACCCCCCAACAGAAACCAAACATAGATGTTTTTTCTTGTCTTTGTCCGATACTCGGTCGGTCAAAACAGTCGATTTTGACTTTTTTGGGTTTGATAAGGTCTTAGCGAATATCAAAATGGACAGCTAGCACCGGGTGGTGAGTGGTGACTCTAGATCTCGTTCGAACTGGTGGGTCAACCCAAGGCTTAAAACCATGCCAACTATCCACCTATCAACCATCAAAGTTTGCTCAACTCCAAGAAGCCTTATACAAAACCCTTTTCAATTTAAGAAAAAATAGGGCATTTGATGAGTCACGATCTCAACAAGAAAAATCATTTATAATCAAGAAAACACATCAAATATGGACATTTATATATCCAGAACAAGAATGACAATACTCAAGGTCAATAATGTGGAATCACAACTCAACACCGTCAACCCATCAATTGATTTTGAAAAAAAATTATGGAGAAGACTATCATAGATGTATTTTCCCACGAAGTTAACAATGTCACAATATTAGCAACAAACCTTTCAAGTTCTAAATCCATACACCAAAGGCTAATATCCTCCTCATAAAATATCGAAAGACTCATAGCCTTCTTCATGGAATAATGAAGGCTTATGCCTTCATCACATAATATTTAAAGGCTTCTTCATCACGGAATATCAGAAAGTTGATGGCCTTTCTCACAGTATATGAAAATACTTCTCCCCTTCCTTCAAAAATATCGAAAGATCCTTCATTGAAATGATAACATTCTTTAATTAAAAGTATAGGTTACTAACATCAAATAAATTGAATTCCATACAATCTAATCAAGGTACGATTACAACTTGCATGTACCCTTTTCGTTCTCCAAAAAGAACAACATCACATTCCCATTGCACAATGATCGTCCCAATTGAAATACAAATCACAATCCCCTTCAAACATATTCACAATCAAAATAATACATCAACCTTATCGTACAATTATTATCTTTGGTTCTACTTACCGCTTTTGGCGAGTATTTTAGTGCTTGGAACTCGATTCCTCCAATATCTCCTTGTTCCCGTAAATTATTATAATATATATAATAATCTCAATCCAATGGACAAAATAATCCAAATTTCATATAGATGCATTGTAACATCTCGAACTAGATACACCTAATAGACCCAACAAAAAAGAGGGGGAAAAATTCGAATATGTGCCCCTGATTCACATTTTTTAGGTTTCTGGTCTGCTTTAACAAAATTTTGGTCTACTTTGATTAACTTGTGGTATGTTTTTATGATAATTCTGGTCTACTTTAAAAAACTTGTGACTTGCTTTATGAGGTTTCTGGTATGTCTTAAGAAATTTGTAGTATGTTTATCAAGTTTCTAGTGCTTCATAAAACTTGTGATATGCTTTATGAGGTTTCTGGTATGCTTTAATGAACTCGTGGTATGCTTTAATAAACTCTAGATATGCTTTTTGAGGTTTTTGGTATACTTAAGAGAACTTGGGATCTACTTTACGAGGTTTTTAGTATGCTTTAAGAAACTTTTAATCTATTTTAAGAAACTTGTGCTCTGCTTCAAGGGACTTTGGAGTATGCTTTATGAGATTTGGTCTAATTTATGAGATTTGAGGTATGTTTTAATGAAACTTGTTATATGATTTTTGAGTTTTTTTTTTTTTGTATTTTTGAAGAAACTTGTGGTCTGCTTTATGAATTTTGTGGTGGTTGATTCGGGTCTAATTGTAAACATTTTATCCTCGTTTTCCTTTGACATTTTATGCATTTGGACTCCGTGAGCTGTAGTTTTACGCTAGGTTGCACTTTGTGTTCACTTGAATCCGTGCATATTATTGTCAGTGGTTTGCACGTATAAAAAACTATCACATCGTAAGCCAAGTTTAACCTAGGATGACATTGTCGTATAGTGGTAATCAATGTCGTGTTCTACTCGGGTCCTGGTAACCTAGCTTACTTCCCACCTTGTTGTTAATTAGGTAATCGGTTTTTGGGGGGTTTTAGTGGAGGATATGAGGAAATACTAGTCTAGAGGTTGATCAAAGCTAAAAGTAGGTACTTTGAAGAACTAAGATCGCACGTTGGTTGTGATTCGACTGGTAAAAGTCTCTGCTCATCCATGGCTTCTTCCTCGCAAAGTTCACGCCCTAGAGCTCCAAGATCTCAGTCGTGATCTTTGGCTTCTGGGCCGCGATCTTCAGCGAGACTTCACGACTGGAGATCCCAACCGTGATCTTTGGCTTCTAGGCCACGATCTTTGATCCTTGCCCCTTTTCTGCACTTCTGACCTTGTTTTGTACCTAATTTGTGTAACACCCTGGCATTTGGGTCTAAATTCGACCGAACGGTTGGACCGATGTTTACGTACGAAGAAATACAACCGTGATTAGAGATGATAATAATAACATTAATAGTAATTATTATTATTTATCATAACTATCATCATCCACTCGTTTTCCCCAAAATCCCCCCACCCCCCCAAAAAAAACCCCCCAAAAAAACCGTTACACCAATCCCCCCAGTTGTTTCCCATTAAATTTTTTTAACCCCAGTTTTAATTCCCCAAACTGATGGGTTTCCTCCAACAGCCTAAGACCCCATCACACTCTAAGACTCCAACATATTTCCTCGGGAGCACAAAAGAAACGAAGAAGTGGCTCCATCGATTAGTCCCTCCATGGCACGAGGAGAGTGCTGGAGAAGCAAGGTCGAGGCGAGTGGGGGAGGGATCTGCGGATCGTTCGGCCAGTCTAGGAGACGAGTGAGGGAGGATGTCACGTCACGCTGGTCAGGGATTCCAATGCGCTCGGAAGATGGAAGGGGACGGCCTCGGTCGGCGATGAAATCAACGGCAGCGCAGAGCCGTATCTGGAATTCAGCCCCCTTGAAGAAATTAAGGTTGCTGGTCAGGTGAAGGTGAGGACTCTATACTAACTATGAGAACTCTGCGTTGATATATTTGCGGGGATATCTTGTCCTAGATGCACTTGCTTGGAATTGATCCTTTGTTCTTAACCGATGAGCTTACTATGCATGACCATCAAGCAGGGTGGAGGAAAGGGTTAGTAGTGAAACTCGTTAATTAATGGTATGGTGGCACTACTTAGACGTTGATGGAGAAGCAAAAAAGCAAAAGGATAATTCCAACAAGTAAATACGTGAGGTGCACTGCTATTTGGACATGATAATGGTTTTGGGGATTATTATAGTGATTGTTGGGGCTATAATTCGTTGCAATTATATGGGAGGTAGTAGATTCGCGTACATGGTTTACTTGGGGTTAGCAACTGATAATTTGCGTAAGGTAATTTGGCACGACAAGTGGGATGACTTTGTTGGCTAATTATGAGATGGGATGACTTTGTTGGCTAATTATGAGATGTGTACTCAATGATTTGTGAAATTTGGTTGGGCGAGGGCAAGATAATGGAGTGGATACAGGAGACAGGACAACGAGCATGCCAATACTTATGGATCAAAATCTCCAATCGTGTAGTAATAATAAGGTGAGTGTAAAGAGGGTAAATTCTACGCGTTACGGTTTTCAAGTATTTGCTTTGAGTATTTTCAAGTATTGATTCACGTGATGCACGTGCAGTATTTGATTCGTATTTGATATTGCATGATTATGTTGATGATATGTGCGTTGGTTGAGCTATGATTTGAAGTGAATTGTGGATGAGTTTATTTCTTACTTGAAGTTTTATGTCTATGAGTTATTGTTAAAGTTTAGGAACAAGTTTCTTTTAAGAATTTATTCGCCTTCAAGAAGGTGAAATAGTTTTAAATGTTTTTAGTCACTAGCGCCAGTCCGTTGCCATTTGAGATTTTGAGATAGAGCAGCAGTTATGCTCTTGAGACTTTTAAGATGAGCAGCAGTTTTGCTCTTGAGATATATTAAGATGAGCAGCAGTTATGCTCTCGAGAATCGTGGAAGAAGAGCCTTCCACGATAAGTTTAAGTTTAAGGAAAGCCTGGGTGACTTTTCATACGTATGAGTTGGGCAACCGGACTAGCTAGTGAGGGATCCTCGTGTCAGTCAAGAATTTAAGTGGAGATTTGAGCTTTAAGAGTATAGTTTTAAGAGTTCAGATTTTTAATAGTGGAAGTACAAAACAACTTCTAGTAAGTTAAGTAAAGTGATCTAGTATGTTACACCCCGCTCTTCCCAAAAGTCAAAATGACTATTTTACCCTTGGGTCAAGTTCCACCGTATTATCGATGAGGACTAAAATGTAAACTCTCGGTTTAAGCGGTGTCGAGTTTTGTCATAAAACACAAAAGTTACATACGTTAATTGAGTTTCAGATTAAACTCACCCGTTGAAATTCCCAAAATACCCTTGAACCACTTAAACCCTAGACCCGCTACCCCCTCTCGCCTCAACCTAAAAACTAATAAAACCCTTGCAGCCCATAACCCTTAGATGCCTTTTCATTTTCCTTACAACTCTCGGCTCTCAGAGGGTTTCATGGAAACCAGAGGCGTCGCAAAAGGGAGATAGGGAGTGTCCGGTAGAGAGGGAGAGACCCTCGATCTAAAGGAAGTAACGCGGCACCCGACCAGCAGCCTCCAAAAATCATCATTGCCGCTCCATGCCAGGTTCATGTGTCATCGTTGCTGAGAAGTAGTGCAAGGAGGAAGATGAGGTAAGCACTTATCTACCTTGTCCATATGTGCGTGCAAGGATTATGAAGATAATGGGAAGGGTTGGAGTATAAAAAGGAATTGGGAAACATAATATTTTGATATATATATTTTTCCTTCCGTGAACCGAGAATTAACCTTGGGAAGGTTGGTGGGTTAATCGTCCTTTAGTGGATGTAGTGTTGGGTTATGAAAAGTGGTGATGGAGCGTGGTTGGATTCTTTCACAATAATCGATTTGATAAAGCTATCTAGTTCTTGTGCATAATGGAAAGATCATGTGGCTATGACTTTCAAGTGTCCATCTGTTAATTCTTGGGGAGTGAATCGAATAGTCAAGGGAGCTTTGCTTCTAATTACTTAATTCATGATTGATAGTAAGGATCGTGAAGGGATTGTTGGTAAATTGTAGAAATTTGAGGAAATATAAATGAAGAGTTTTAAGAGGTAGGAGGAGGGATGCTATCGAAATCGGAAATTGATCATGGGATATTACGTAGGTTGTGAAGCATGCAAATCACGGGAAACTAGCATGAATATGGCTTGGAGGATTAAGGAGTTCATATCGACTGCGGAGTGCAACCATTTATAAGGTGAGTGTAAAGGAGGTAAAATCTCCGTCGAGGTCTTTTAGTTTATGCCTATTTAATTCAGTTATGTTATTTAATTTTCAAGTAAGCGCGATTATGTGTGTGAGGCATCCCACCGCCTACTTAAAGTGGAGGCACGCGTTGTGCTATGTATGTGTGTGTTTGTGATGTATGGATGATGGTAATTGAACCCCCGGGCAGTTGGGCCACTACTGGACGCGGTAGATGGTCGGGTCACTACTGGACGGCGATACGTAACGCAGTAGTTGACCGGGCATGGACTGGACAGCGATACGTAACGCAGTACCATTGCCTTGTGGATAGGGACACCGGACGGCGATACGTAACGCGGTGATTTCCCAGTAATAAGTATATAAGTTAAGGTAGTAGTAGAGAACTTCTAAGATTTAAGGTTAAAAGTTGAGAACTTCTATGAGTTAAAGTTGAAATGAGTTGTGAAGGATGAAAGTGAGAATGACTTTCAACTAAGGAAAGGAAACGCTAATAACGTGTTTTAGTAAGGAGATTTCTAAGTGCAGAGACCTTAGAAAGTAACGACGAGACTGACCCCTTCTCACTCACCAGGTTGAGGTTGGGTTAGCGGAAGTGCATCCCGAGAAGAAGTAAGATGAGGTGACCGGCTGTGCCAGTACTAGTGAGAAGTCAAGAAGCTGGGTGAAGGGTTGGAGTTAAAACTTGAAAGTTATTTTATGATTATGATTATGAGTATATGTACTGGAGATTCAAGGTTCAAGATGTTGGGTTAAGTCGTTTAAGTATTTGGATTTTGATTGCCCAAGTGTTAGGGCTTTTCGTTTGAACTTCCTAATATAATGTCAGATTGTTTATTTAAAAAAAAATGGTTTGGGTGCTCCGGAGTAACCGGTTTTTGGGTTTGAGTTGTGGTTTGATTTTCGAAAAAGGTCGGGACGTTACATTTTGGTATCAGAGCCGGCACTCCTCTGTTTCTTGGTCTCCAAGGAATACTGGAGTGACGATCTGCGTTTTTCAAGGTTTCAGTTTTTTAAAAGGAAAGGAAAAAGGGAGTGTCTGTTAAAGAGTCTTTCGAGAATTTTTAGAATCTCCAGTATACTCTATTCATGAAAAGGAAATAACTTTAGGATGCCCACGGGGTTATGATACATCCCGGGAAGGAGAAAGAGCAGATGATCGTTTAGTGGAAAGCTTTTCATGAGTGAGAAGAGGAGGTTCAAGGCAGCTTATATCCTACCGGGATGCGAACTGATCAGAATAAGGTTAAGGAGTATGCCAAGTATCTAGCACGTCGACGGACAGTAGCCAAGGAGTTATTGCAAATGGCGGCCATAATCTAGAGGAAAGGATGTACGGAAGGTTCGTTGAGTTCGTGAGAATCGAGCGTAGGGCTACGACCCAAGGAGAGGTTAGACTTTAAGCAACACTAGGGGCACGTAAGCAAATCATGGAAGAATTCAGTACATCATGGGGAGCATGAATGGGTTTTAAGGGATCAATGAGTCAAGGCTTGGAGGAGGCACAATCGTGTACTTACGTGGACTGGGTAATCCCTTAGGGATACAGTACGTCCCTAAGAAGAGGAATCATGGATTTGGGGAACTAGATCAGAGGAAAGTCATTGAGATGAAGGAGTACATCATCAAGAGTAACAATGTCAATAATGAGGAAAGAGCCCGCGCACTATGTAACCAATAATTACAAGATAGAGGATACTGTATTTGAGGGATTCCACAAGTTACAGTAGTCACAAGAGGTCAAAAATCTAAGCGATATGAGGAGTATCTTCGGACTAAGGTATGATAAAATTTGGGATCTCGAAAATTTTCTAGGTAAAGTCATCAAACCGACCGAGGATAGACAGGGAAGTAGAACGTTTGAAGGAAGTTCTAACCACTAACAGAGGAAGCAAATAGGACTTTTGAGGATGAATTTTCGATGGATACGATAAGGTGGACTTATGTAACACATCAAGAAAGAGCGGAAAGGTAAAAGAAAGTTGACGTAATTCCAGGGAGTCTGGTGGCGAAGTCTAAGGAAGCCAGTTCAAAGCTATAGCGGGGAAGGGACATTAACAACTTCGGGTAGTGCATGGAGGATGCACATGTAAACTCTAAATAAGGTGGTTGAAATGAGGGTAAGAGACCCAATCTCAAGAGGACGCACACAAAGAGTCTTGTGTGGAAGATATCTCCAGAAAAAGAGGAAAGCACTAAGTGACTTCATCCAAGGTGCTTCACTCTGAGTGGGTACAAATGGTAGGACGTCATCAGGAGAAGGCAACTAGTTAGGGGTAAGTCAGGGACGTCTAGAGGAGATGGCTAGTTAAGGACTAAATCGCACTCACTTGGTTTAATCACTGTGAACCTAAGCTAAGAGATTAAGGCCGGAGCCAAGTAGCGTCCGGAGTAGACACTGCGGGTGACATGTGGCAAGCCTACCTAGAACAAGCTTCTGGGGGATATGTCAACTCTGAGGAATGATGAGGAGCTACTAAACTGAGTTAAGTTAGCAAAGTTAGTACCAAGTATTGCTAAAGGAGTCGTGGAAATAAGGAACAAAGGAGGACACTACCAGTCTATAACGAGAGTGGTAGTAAAGAGGTGGCAGTCGACCGGTCGACGAGTTCAAGGAGAATGATAGATAGGAAATGATTGATGAAAAGACAAGAAAGTCAGCAAGGCGACATTAAGATGACTGCCAGCAGAGGGCAGTTAAAGCCATAGGAAACCCATCGAGAGCTGAGAAGCTCAGTGATAAACTTTAATATGGAAGTGTGGTTTTCCAAATATGTCCAGGGTGATGACATTATATGGAAAAGAACACAGGAGAGGAAGATCATATAGGAGTTTCGGGGAACTTCAGCTCAGTTCTACGAATGACATAGTCGATAGCGTGAGAAGTATAAATCCTGGCAACAATGGGGAAGCATTAAGTGATTCACCTAGGAGTACACAAGCAAGTCAAAAAGGGAACATCATAAGTTTCGAAAGGATCATAAATTTTGGCGCAAGTTAGGGGTAGATGCACAGGTTGTTTCTAATGAGTATAGAAAGTAAAGGCAGTGGTACGAGAATTTCAGTGCTTAACGGTAGGTTACAAAGAGATGATCATACAGGTAAAGATTAAAGGCTAAGAAGGCGTATTGAGGCACGGAAGTAAGAGATACAAGCTAGGAGATACAAAGACCTAGGAGACTTATCAGGGACTAGAGTTAAGCGTACGTTAAAGGGGTCCCACCGTATTAGGAAGAGTATAAGCCATCAGTAAACTTAGGGTTCGAAAGG